TTTCGCCACCTGCTGCACAAGTGCAAGGACCCGAGTTCGATCCCCGGTATCAATTAAAAAAAAAAAAAAAGAAATAAGAGAAGCAAGGCCCAAAGTCACAGCAGTTGAAAAAGCTAAAAGCAGTAAATGTGTAAATCTCCCATAGAAATGGCATTTTAAAAATTCAAAATACTACGTAGCCTCATTAATAAATCAGCATCTTTGATAAATTTCACATTAATTTCTAGCAGATGTTCAGGGTAAAGATGTAGCTCACAAGTACTAACATAACCATCCCTATAAGATAATGCAATGCAAACTTTATATCACTGTTTTAACAGAGGAAATGATTTCCAACTTTAAATTATCAACAAAGCTGTTGACAAGGTGTTCCATGAGATCCTCAAGTGGAAATAAAGACAACAGAAAAGTGGGGGGGGGGGTCACAAGCAACCAATGCTGATTTAGTAGCAATTAATATACAGATCTCTACAGATTCTGTATTTGGCCCTTATGCCACTCAATTAAATTATTAAAAATTAATATAAAATATATAAACATACTTAGTTTGCAGACAAAAGTGAACTATGCTTGAGGAATACTAGATGAAATTTTAGTATCTCTAGAGAATAAGAAAGTAAACTTAATAAGATGAAAGTTAGCATTCATATATCTACATTTATACATGTTTGTATAAATGTAGCAACTATAAACAATTGTGTCTGAACAATGTACAGGCTAGGGGGCATTTTGTCTATTAGAACTACATATGAAAGTAAGTTTTATGTGCCTACAATCTCAGTAAGTGTCAGTAATAAAATATAGCTCTCAAAATAAAAGCTCATTTTAGATGTCCCAGTTTAAAATGAACACAAGAAAAATCAGTAAAGTACCAACTGTGGAAACCATATCTAATAAAAGGAATACCAAAAGTTACCAAATCTATTTACATATGGAAAAAAGACTGTAACACTATTACTACAACACATTAAAAGTTACAATAAACAAAGGAAGAAATATCTTTATATGAACCTAATACTAATATATAGTATTTTTTTTGGTACCAGGGATCGAACTTGGGTCCTTGTGTTTGCGCAGCAGGCGGCGAAACCACTGAGCTAAATCCCCCGCCCCCTAATATATAATATTAATTAGATGTTACAGGAAAAGATGTTTTTACTCCAAGGAGCTACACAAAGGTGGAAAGATTGGATTCGAATATAGCAAGCTTCTCAGAAGGACTTAAGAATGAGTGTGCCACACTTCTCTGGTGTCACTCTTACGCATTCTATTATCGTGAATAAAAGTTCAATGATAAAAGTATAAGAAAATGAGATTAGGACAACCTGCTTTAGCATGGGAAAAAGGACAGCCAAAGGCCTAAATGTTGCATTCACAGCCATGTCCAGGTTAGCCAGGAAACCTTAACAGTTAAAAAGTTCTTATAAGTACAAGATGAAAACAGGAGTTTGATTCAGAAGGAGACTATGAAGTGATGCAAAGTTTCACAGGACCTGTCTGAAAAAGCAAAAGGGCTGTGCATGTGCGTGTGTATGTAAACACAAAATGGGAAACAGGCACTTGAGGTAGAAAGGTAGTTAAATCACTCTGTGGCTTTTGGAAGGACAAAGGGATGTTAGAGGTACATAGGAATTATGAATAGAGCCAGGAGAGGTGGGTGACACATGCCTTTAATTCCAGCACTCAGGAGGCCAAGGCAGAAGGACTATGAGTTTAAGGCCATCCTGGACTATATAGCAAGAGCCTGTCTTGAAAAAGAACTATAAAGGATTACTTTTAATAGATGCTAAAGCCAAACCTCCAAAGGTTACTAAGGCCAAACAACTAGTTATTATAAAGTAAAATTACTCTGAAAAGTACAAACAAAAATTTAAAAATTAAAAGTAATAGGGCCGGGGCTTTAGCTCAGTGGTTCCGCTGCCTGCCTCGCAAGTACAAAGACCCGACTTTGATCCCTGTTACCAAATAAAAAAAATAAAATAAAATGAGTCTCCATTTAAAAAAAAAAGTAATAGAGGGCTGGGGATTTAGCTCAGTGGATCAGGCGCCTGCCTCACAAGCACAAGGTCCCAAGTTTTATCCTGGTACCAAAAAAAAAAAAGTTAAAGAATTAGAAAAACTAGGGCCTAAGAAATAGGACAACTGTTACTTTAACCTATTATTTATATTTACAAAAACTTTTTATGGGCTGAGGATATAGCTCAGTGGCAGGGAACTTGCCTCAAGTGGACAAGACCCTAAGCTTGATCCCCAGAACTGCAGATACAAACAAACAGAACACCACTTTAAAGATTTCCTAAATTTTCAATTACATTAGAAAACTAAATTTAACATATTACTAATTAATCCAGAGTAAACTACTGATAATGGAAGAAGTTCTGTCTTTTGAAGCAAGATGCCATCAACATCAGATTTTAATAAGAACTGATATCATGAATATGTGAAGCATTTTATAAACATGAAAGGAATATATTCCTTTAGTACAACCTAAGTAGTTAAGAAATCAACCTAAATAACTTGAAAGAGAGCTTTATCAAAATAAACTTTTAAAATCTCGATTAAAGAACTTGACTTTGAAAGTTAAAAGGACTAAAGAAAATAAATATGCCCGCAACAGAAGGTCATCTGGTCTGTTTCACTCAGTTTCCCCCAACTGGCTTTGCTATCCTCTTATCACACGACATACTAGCAGCAGCAAACTTCAAAGGACAAGGATAATATAGTGAAAATGGAAAGAGGAACTCAACACTATGGCTCACATTTCATCTCAAGATTTTACACCTTTCGCCATGCAGCAACCAAAAGCAGATAAATAAAGAGAAGATGATTCCCATCAGAAGCTTCTAGAGGACAAATGGAAAAATAAGGCTAATTCACCAATAACTACCATTAGTAGATTCACTATAAGCTATTTAAAAAGAAAATATTAAGTATCCATTTTATAATTTTCTTTATACTTTGTTTCTTTATATTTTGTTTCATTATCAGTTTTCAGATGCTTTCTTCCTCTTAATCATTACTGGATTTGCACTTAAGCTATACATATTTGGGGGAAAATTCTTAAAAGCTGGCTAGTTTTAGATATGTCCATCCATAAGAATATTTACTAGACTTTAGAGGATACCTTCTTGAAGGTTTTGTTTTGTTTTATTTTGTTTTTTTGGTGGGGGATGAATAAAAGCAAAGGAGAAAGGACTTGTTAACACTGAACTGCGCGGACAGTACAACTTCACTTTCCCAGAAGTGTCTGAAGCACATTTTCAGCAAGCAGGCATATGTATGTCGCTATGTGTTGAGAGCAATGCTACATAATAATAGGGAAAAATCATTTGATTAGGCCTAGTTCTCCTGCCTACAGGCCAGCTATGGCATTTTGAGACATAATTCCATCTTGGCCTCCGGTTACAACTGAGACCTCAATGATCCCGTGATGCTGTGATTCTCCAGGACAAGATTACACCATCATGGGCAGAACAAAATGTTCATCTACTCAGTTAATCATTGTTCCCGGATTGTTACTTTGTTTATCCCAATGTACTGAACTCTCAGCAAGTCATTTGTTACACCTTGTTTATGCAGAAGTACTGAACTCTCCACAAGTTGTTACATTTGTTTCTCCTGATGTACCGAATAAAAGGTGGGTAAACCGGAGGCTTTCAGCTTTGCTACCCAGATCAGCACTGATCAGACCTAAAGCTCAGCTTCTTCTCCGACTCATTTTTTTTCTACCTTTCCTGTATAATAAATTAATTCACCTTGTGCTGCCCTGGCTCCAGGAGACTAGGACTCACTGCAGAGTTTCTAGTAACATCCCCTTTCCCTGTTCCCTACAGCTATTTTTGTTTGCAATCTTTCCAATGGTAGCCTTACCTTCCGCAGGATCACTCAGACATGTGGTTTTATAACCTGTCAAAGATCTGCGAAACAAGAGAGTTGGCAAGAGCTACAAAGGAAGTGGACAATAAGTGCACTCCACTCTCATCATGCAGGAGGCAAAGGCTGTCAGGTTAAAACTCTTACACAGTAAATGGGAAGGAAGTTTAAAGGGAAAGGAAAACACCCTGGAATTTCTGATTTCTGCATCTTAGCTTACAAGCCTTTCTGCTTAGAATGCACTTCTGCACGTGTAGAAATCTAAATGTACATCCTGCATGGCATGTTCTCCCATCTCCAGAGTGAGAACCAAGCTCTCCCCTTAACAGCATCTTTGTGGCAAGTGATTTCACTCTGGCACATCATTTTTGTATAAAACTCCCATTTTATATACATTTATACATTTGATAAAGTTGTCATTAGCTGGTAGAAAATACAAACACACGTGCTACTTCCTTAATGACAGGGACATCCTTGAATCTAACACAGTGCCTTGCACATAGAAGGAATAAGAAAAGGTTTTGTGGATGAGCTCACTGCAGGCTGTGATGTCTAGAGAAAACTGTGTAAGAATGCTTTAACTAGAAAAGAGTTCCCCTTTGTTTCTATTCCAATACACTAAGCAACTCAGCCAGGACCACATCTTCGATCACACAGAATGTCATGGACACACAGGCATTCCCCACTTGACCCTCCCCGCCACAAATCAGAGGCTGGAAAAGAATGAACTTACGGTACACTATAGCTCTGAATTGTATAAAGTTACAGCAGATATTTAAAACAGATCCTTGGTCTTCGAAAGTAAATCAGACTATCAGATACATAAAGGTATCATCTAAGGACAGAAGGCTGGAGAGGCTGGCCTGGCACAAGCGTTACCAGGAAACACGGGAATGGGCAGGTTTCAGACAGGATTACAAAGGTCCCTTACATGCTGACAAATGTGAAGATGAGATATCATGCAGACTCCAACTTCAAGAAGATATCTGTAATGCAGTTTGAAATTTTCAAACTAAAAAGTCTCATAGAAAAGAGTACCTATGACAACACCTAGTAAGCAATATGACTCAGTACACTCCCTTCAGTGGAGGCTGAGAAAGAAAAAGGAAAAGTCTTCAAATACATACTTCTATGTTGAGACTGATGGAAAGAGTACATTTTGCTTCGGTCTGGAGAGTAGCTTCTACTACTGACACTGGAGCCAGATCTGCTGTGTGGAGAGTCCTTTCGGCCTACAGATGATTCTCGGAAAAAAGGAGGATCCCTTTTATGAGGAGACCGGTCTCTCACATAATGGGAAGAGTAGAAACTTTTCCTTCTAAAGCCATCTCTCATGTCCCTGTGAAGAAAAAAGAAAACTGATTACAACCCATGCATACAAACACGTGGAAAAAGGTCTAATTAGAAGCTACCCTTTAAATTGCAATCTTGGTTCTCTAACTGCTAAAGGAGTGAACAAAATGAATCTAGATCAGGGCCAGGGATTCAGCTCAATGGTTGTGCCACCTGCCTCGCGAGCGCAAGGTCCCAAGTTCGATCCCCAGTACCAAAAAAAAAAAGGATCAATGAAATATGATTTAGAATACACTACTTTTTCAGTGGTTAAATATAAAGGTATTTTACTGTAAGCACGCACAAGTTCTAAAATGTGAAAAACAAAACCATGTACCATAATTTCTACTTCTCTTGCCATTACTGTTACACCATAGCAATATAACACAGCTACCATATTCTCAAAGGCCAATAATGCAAAAGATTTCCCAAATGAAACCCTTCAAGGTCAGCATAGCAGAGGTTAAGTATCCCTAAGGGGAAAAGCTCCAAAATCTCAAATTTTTTGAGTACTAACATCATACTCAGAAACTTTTTAAATTTTGGAGCACTTCAGATGAGAGATGCTCAGGCTGTAAAGTATGCAAATACTCTAAAATCCAAACACCTGAAATCTGGAAAGCATCTGGTCCTAAACATTTCAAACAAGAGATACACAAGTGTTATATTCCTGGTTTTTTGGTCCCCACCCTACCAGGGCACATTGACATCTAGAGGACGTGGGTTTGTCATGGGGAGGGGAGCAGCACTGGGAGTGAGGGGCCAAGAATGCGGACAAAATCCTAAATCCCCAGAAACCCTTCACACAAACACACACACAAAAAAATCTACCTAGTCCAGGCCTGGGGATTTAACTCAGTGGTTCCACCACCTGCCTCACAAGCACAAGGTCCCGAGTTCGATCCCAGGTACCAAAAAAAAAAAAAAAGAATCTATCTAGTCCAGAACAGGAATACTGCCAAGTTGAGAAATCTTGATCTATATTCCATTAAATTTGTGCTCTGAGTTTGTACCCTTGAGTACACAGGCTGTTGCCCACCCCTAAATCACCTGGCTGGATGAAGAGACTGCGCAGGGGGCTGGATCCAGGGTTCCTGACGGCTGTGCTGTTGGAGGCAGGGCCCAGTGGGGGTGGTCACCGGTGCCTCTGGAGGGGTCTCTCAGGCACGCAGTGCTCTGATTCCTGGGCACCATGAAGGGGACCGCTTGCTCCACCAAGCTCTTCCACAAGGATTATTTCTGCCTTGGAACCAGCCAAGCACAGAATGAAACCTCTGAAATCACGAGCCAAACTAAACCTCTCCCCTTTAAGGTGTATGTGCTGGGTATTTTTTCAGCAATGAGAAAAGTTGACAAATACAGTAAAACCAAGAAGCCATGAACCTTTATTAAAGGAACACTCAGTGTCAAATGGAATTTAATTGATGTTTAACCAATGTACTCATTAAAATATAAATAATATTAAATTTCAGACATAAGACTGACAGATAAATCAAAGGCATGGAATTTCCTTCTTTCTTTCTGTGGTCTGAGGGCTCAAACCCAGGGCCTTGAGCACACTAGGCAAGCACTCTACTACTGAATTACCAGCCCATGACACGGAATTTCTAATCTCAGCAAAGAATGTAAGTATATTAACAGTTCCCACTATATATATGGGCTATTGTCCTAAAGTTCAGTTGAATATGAAGTTCAGTAAAAAAAACTACTGCTACAGTGACAATTATTAAGCATTCCTGAGAAAAAGGCAAGCTAAAATTCATTTACAATAAATGAACTCATACAGAACATCAATACCAAAATAAAATATTATAAAATTCTAATAGAGTGAAACCTAGTTGCTAAAACCATAGGGTCATACCAACATCACTAGTTAGCCAGTGAGGAAAAGCTGACATTAAATAAATGTACATAACACATATAGCACACACAACACATACAGTCAAGAATAAATGCAGAAGCTGGGCGGGGTGGCACACACCTGTAATCCCAGTACTCAGCAAGCTGAGGTGAGGGTCACCACAAGTTCAAGATCAGCCTAGGCTGCATAGTGAGTTCAAGGCCAGCCTGAACTACATAGCAACACCCTGTCTCAACCCCCCCCCCAAAAAAGATGCAGAGAAACAAGGAGTCTACTTAGACAAGAGAAAAAAAGAGTAACTTAGATGGAGTCACAAATTTTACACACACAAGAACGTATCTTTTCAACTCCATGGGAAGTAATGAATATTTGACTAAGGAGTATAAAAGATGGGGAATGCCAAGTGGCTTTCCAAAATTCTAGCATGACACGGTACTGAAATGATAAAAACTGATGTGAGAGATGGGGATGGAAGAAAGAGATCCACATTCAGACAGCAGCTGCGCCTGAAGTTCATGTACAGCTGGGTAGCCAACTCATGTATCTATAATTAGCTCTGGATGAAGGGACCACGCAGCCACCCATTTGAGACTCCTCCCGGGAAATTCAAGATCTAGTCTTATTGTTATTTCCAATTAACTCCTTTGGTTTACAACTTCATTCTTCCACAATGTTTGTGGAACCACAGGGAGGGAGGAAGGGAGGGAGGGAGGGAGGCGTATATATTCCAGAAAGAAAGAAAAAGAAAAAGAGAAAAAAGGACAAGAGTACATATTCCTGGAAGCCAAGGAAAGAATATTATATGAAAGGAAATAAAGGTTTCCTACATTTAAATCAGATCAGGCCTTACTGAACACTTGGTTAGCTGATGGAGGAAAGCTGGCCCACATGCAGAGGAGACTGACTCTTTCCATTGAAAACTAGTGAAAAGCTGAACTACAGCTTCCAGAGGCCGACACCAGATGGCAGTAAAATCACAGCCCAATTTGTAACTGTAAGTGTGGCCTGGGCTGGCTGGGAGGACCAGGGGTGGCGCTGGAGCACAGGTCAGGTTCAGCAGAAGAGTACTGTCTCTCCTCCCTTCCAATCAACCTCTCCTACTGCCAACCAAGTTATGTAAAAATATCACAATAGGTAAAGATCCTAAGTACCGTTTTTGATAATATTAGCTAACTTATTTTTTCAGGCATATATATGTGTGTGTGTGTATGTGTACTTACTGCCCACTGTATGACAGGCACCATGGAGAATAACCCTGGCTCAGAGCAAGCCTGGGCTCTAAATGGGGCTTGTGAGAGGGGTTGAGGCTAGGAGAGACCCATCTCAGACCTAGGAGTCATGTGACCAGTAAAAGCATGGAAACAAAAACAGATTGTCAAATATATCTGAAAGAATGAAGTCATTACTTTTCTTCACAAAAAAGCTTCACAAAGGGAAGACAGAAGGGAACTGAAACTGATTTTACTTTGATGGAAGGGATTTATCTGAACAAACCTGGAGTTTGAAGGAGAAATCTAATTTTCATCAGGGGAAACTAATAATTCAAGACACAAAACTGTTAAAATGTTAAAGGAGGAACCAAAGTCAAGAGGAGAAAAATGAGAGAAAGGGAGTAAGTAGAAGACAGTGATCTTGAATAGTACAAAAAGAATAAAGAGAAAAAAATTTCTATTCTAAAATACAGGGCTTAAGGGAAGCATCCGCAAGGAAAGAAAGGAAGGGTGAGGGCCCTCTGTGAACCAGCCTCCTGTACTCAAAGACTCTTGCAAAGTAACTATTAACTACACTCAAGGGTGCCAACGGACATGAATTTTTCATTATTATTTAATTACCTGAATATAATTTGAAGAATTATCTTCGAAATAGTTTAAGGAGTAGCATCAGTCTGCCTGGCTTTGATTCTTTTCCACAGCTTACAACAGTAAGCAGCTTACTTAACCCCCTTATGTCTTGATTTCCTCATCGATAAAGTGAGGATAATAGTATTTCACAAGGTTACAGGAAGAGTAAAAGAAATAGTACATCAGTAGTGTTTAGAGCCAACACTGCGTTCAACAGATGTTCGCTATCAACTGTATTACCCCAGTATAATTTCTATTAAACCAGTAAAGGGTTTGTAACAACAAACAGCTAGGCACGCCAGTACAACTCACTGACAGCTACAAGTCACCCAGAAAAGTAAAACTATGAAATCTTGCTTATCTAAGTGTAAAACCAGGCCATAGTGATAAAAGCCTCTAGAGAAAGACTTAAAATTGATTTCCAGACTGATTCCTTCATATAGCACATACTGGGCTGGGGATTTAGCTCAGTGGTTCCGCCGCCTGCCTCGCAAGTGCAAAAACCCAAGTTCGATCCCAGGTACCAAAAAAAAAACCCATATAGCACATACCATGATGAATTCAGGTGGACTAAAAAGCTAAATATTTACAAACAAGAGACAGAAGAAAAAAGTCTCCATGAAGGAAAAAAAAAAACTAAAATACTAAACATCCATAAATATATAAAGAAACAATTTTGCATCAAAATGCTAAATATAAACTGTATCTTAAAAAGGCCTATGCTCAAAAAAAAAAGGCCTATGCCAAAAATTAGAATTCAGTTTAAAACAAATTTCCAATTAAAAATGAGTATCCCAGGGCTGGGAATTTAGCTCAGTGGTTTCGCCACCTGCTGTGCAAGCACAAGGACCCGAGTTCAATCCCTGGTACCCCCCCCCAAAAAAAAAAAAAAAATATATATATATATATATATATATATATATATGAGTATCCCGTGCTCGCTTCAGCAGCACATATACTAAAAATGAGTATCCCAATACTGACTATCCCAATACCAATGGCAAAGTTCTAAATATTAGTATTCAATAATTTATATAATAGTTTGATGCTAACAAAAACATTATGAATAAGGTGAAGACATCAACAAAAAATAGAAGCTATAAAGATGATTTGAAGCCAGGCATAGTGGTGCACGCCTGTAATCCTAGAAACTCAGGTGGTGGAGGCAGGAGGATCACTACAAGTTCAAGGCCAGCCTGAACAAGGTGAGACCCTGCCTCAACAAAAACCAACAAAAAAAGATAATTTGATAGAAGACAGAAAATGTCATTTCACTAAATAATTAAGACATTAAAGTTAAAATTT